GGTTTTGAAGAAACAAAAAGTTAACTAAGGACTTCTTTGCACAACCCAATATTCTTCACTTCAGGACAAACATTCAGTTTTCAGTGCAGCCAAGTCACGAAGCCCTTCAACTAATTTTTAATTTTAAATAAAAAATCAAACTACACCAAATCATTAGAGGGCTCTTCAAAACCTAGCTTTTATTACTAAGACCTTCACTTAGTATGAAAAAGCATAATGAAAAGATTCGTTGGTTAGGCTCACCAGAAGAAGACGGTTTATTCCCGTAGTTCAGAGCTGAAACTTATTCTTGAAAGTTTCAAGTTAACAGTGAATCAAGAAAACTGTCCGGTCTTATCTTGCATGCCATAATATTCATAAAAACGAAAATATATAGGTATATAAATATTTAGCTAAGTCAGCGTGCCTTTACTTGAATGTGTGCATGTGTTAAAGTCTATGCAATATCAGTCATATATAAAAGTGATTATAAAAGCTTAATTCCAGGACCAAATCACAAGGGCCTAATGACCCAAGGAAAAACGTCATGAAAATTTACTGCCCATGGTTGGTATTACTTCGTCCAATAAGAATTTCTAAAATTTAACCATGAAGTTCTTAGCCAAAATATGAGTTAGGCAAGATCTCACTGCAAGTTTTTGTGCCTGTTTATTAAATTTGCCATCAAGGGTAAATAGTATGATTAATAACCTATCCATGAGAAGTGTTTATTTTAATTTTAAGAACTAAGAGCTGACCATTTATGAATTCCAGCAGTGTGTATAGCTATGGGCTTTTTAACAAGCAAAATGATCTAATATTAAGAATTCTACCTGAAAAGCCTACACCCGACAGGCCAAACTGAAATTGATCTAGACACAATATATGCGGCTTATATATGAATACACATTAGTTGGCGGCATCATTTCTTTCTGCAAAAAACGGATATTAAAAGTACCTGTGAAGATGACTAAACATTAAGCAGTTGAGCTCAAGAGTACAGTTCTGGTCGACAGCAATCCAGAGTTGTGCACGAAGCCCTCCAAGTAGACCGGAGCCAGGAGAACCAAGACCCTGGATGGCGCGCAAAAGCAAAACCGCAAATACTAAATCCCAATGATATACAAGACCTGTCGAGTATATAGTGGCCAGGAAAGTGTGGAACAGACAGGAAAGATTAGTCCTGGATGGATGGCAAGCAGATGTAAGACCAACGGAGAAAGTAGAATTGTGATCTGTTATGTTGGTTGGCAAGGTCAAGCTGTTGACTATAAACCAAGATAAAGAATGTGAAGACAATTAAAAATGTCTAGTAGAGGGCAATAACGGAAATAGTCGAAAAGTATATAGATTTAAGGATGGGAGAAATATGATCCCTAAATAGCAGTTCATTCTATAAATAGTCCTAAACGAAAACAATTTACAACAGATTTTGATAAGAATCTAGAAGAGAACCCGAATTTGGAGAAAGTGACTTTTGACAAATTACTATAGATGAAATTTGTGCTAAATATTTTTAATGAGCAACTAAAAATCAGACAGTGAGGAGTAAATAGGCCAAATCTGTTTTGTGTAATATGGACAATATGAGAAAAATCCAAAAAGCATA